CTGGCCAAAATACCACTCCACACTCTTCTTTACATTTAATTCAGTACTTGCAGTTTATGTGTAGTTGTTTGTGAAATTCACTATCTGTTATAGTTGCTCTGTAGCTGGCAGTATAACATGTTACTGTGGGAAGTTTGTTTTCTAATGTTTTCTTTGCTTGTTTATGAATATGATTCAATAACAGCATATGCTTTTCCGATATATTTCCCACTTGTCTCTTTTAATAACAGCTGTTGGTAAGAACCACCAGTTGTGTCTTCATTCAAATGTAAACCGCCCTATGTAGTGTATCGATCAGAAAAGTTCAATATTGAACACAATATTTACTGTTTACTTCATTAGATAATTTCTTCATTAGATAGGCCTAGTTTTCATGAGAAGGACAGTTTACCTTTATGGTAAATTCTCTGGATCCGACAGCTTTTTAGAAATTCCCTGGTAAGGTTCACACTCGTGCAGTGATGGCCAATACACAGTTCACAAGCACAGCATTATATGGCGAAGCACGCTACTATGTTGTGATGTAATATCATTTTTGACCACTAGATGGAAGCATTAGCTTATAAAGACATTCGATTAACCCTTTGAGGGAATTCTATTCGAAATCTATTTAGTATGCCTCTTGTTATTCCAAGTACAAGTTGGTATAATGATAATACAATGACAATGACTGTGTGTGGGGCAGATATAGATTAGAAACAATATTAGTAATTGCTACATGGACCAAAATAGTGTATTAGCCTATTATTATTTACTTACAAAAAGCACATTTACAATATTCGATATTAATTATTTGATTAAAATTCGAGACAAATTAATTTATTATTAGCTGATAAAATGAGCAAATAAAAAAGAGTTCTCAGCGCTGTCTTTTTTAAAGAATCAATGAAACATTTAAGCATTAATTAACGAATTTTTATTTTCAAACGAATATTCCCCAAAAACCGCTATTTACATTTTTCCGGCGACTGCCATATTTTGCTCCTCATTCAAACGCGACGAGCGCAGAGCAGCGCTGGCTTCCTGCCATATAGTGCGCTTCCTCAGATCGGTATCTTATGAGGATCAGCTGGAGCCGCTGAGCTCGGCGTGTGACGTCAATCACGCTGCGGGTGTCGTCTGCGCAGCGCTGGTGACGTCACGCGCTCTTCCACGCGACTGCCCTGAGGTTCGGGGTTCAAAACGCTCGCGCTGCTGCCCGCGCTGAACGCGCACGCGGACTGAATGAAAGCAGCAAGATTGCGCGCGACTCTCCAGACGCGTAAGTTAAGGTAAGTTAACCTCCGCTCGGATGTGTTGTTACTCGGGCCTCGGTTAGGCAGCGCAGGGCTGTCTGTGGCGGTGTCCCGCGTGGCTTCAGCCGCAGCACAGGGACGCGTTTGTGACGCGCGTCTGAAGCGCTGCTGCTGCTGCTGAAGTTCCAGCGCGTCCCGCCCTGCGCTGCTGCT